CCGTAAAAAAAAAAAAAAAAAAAAAAAAAACAAGGGTCCCTTCGATCTTCACCAGCTTCCCCCTGCGCAAACTCAAAAAATTCTCATTTCAACGATACTCAATATCAAAAGCGAAAGAGAGACTCGATGAAAAAAAGAAAGTCCCGCCTATCGTCGGTTCATATCATTAATTAATAATAATTAATAATCAATAATAACTAGTAACTAATAATAATCTTAAATCGCAACGAACCGCCCGCTACTCTCTGCTGGTACTAACGACGACAGTGACGACGAAAAAAAAAAAAGTGTAATAATAATAGTAATAATAATAATTTTAAAAAACTTAGTAACGCTATTTGTTAAGCAATAGAGTAGCTCGAGCCTAGCGTCAGCGAGCAAACAACCCACCAGAATGGTCAGCCGTGGCGTACTCGGTGAGAAGGGGCGATGCCGCCAGGGCCGCGTAGTTGGCGTAGTCTGCGTACGGCGTGTAAATGAGTCCGTGTGGATCACCCGCGGACAGGAGAGATCCTGGTGGACCCGAGCCGTTCAGGAGCGAGGCGGCGGTCGTCGGGACGGATATTCGTGGAGAAAGTATCAGCGGTGCACCGAGTGGCGCGTTCTGGGTCCTCATTTGGGTTCCAAGACCAGGAAGAAGACGCTGAGTCTCGGCTGCGGCCGCTGCGACGCGTCTCCATTCCTCGTCGCAGGCTGCAATGTCAAAAGCTACACTGACTCTTTACATCCAGTTCTGTATGGACGAGACAGGGGGGGGAGGTTACTGGAAGGGATCGACTTCGACTCGAGGATATCGTGAAAGTTAAGTAATTGTTTGGAGGAAAGTGTGTTGGGGGAGGAACAGGAGGGAAAGGGAATTGCAAAGTCGATCCCTATGAAATTCTTAACCATTGTATTACCTGCGGCTGCTGCGACTTTCGTATTCGAATCTCGATACGTTCCATTTATTATGGCGAGTTCCATCAACTGTCGTTTCTTAAGCTCGTCCTCGCCATCGGCCTGCTAACAATCGATATCACCGTCAGAATATATCACGACCTTGTGACTTTTGGGATACCATGGATTTTATAAAGATGAAAAAAGAATTAAATATATTTTCCCATAACTTCCGGCATTTCTTATAGCTCCCACCCACTGGAATTAGCTACTTCGATTTGTCACCGTGTGAACGAGACTTTCATTGACCTTAGTATTTTGTTAATTTTTTTTCTTATAAAGTATCGATAGTCGGAACTGTCTCACCACGGGTACCAGGAGCTTCTTCACTTCCTCGACGGCACGTGCGAGCTTCAGGGTGGCACGGTTCTCGGTGTCCTCGACGGTGAGCAGAACGTGTAGCTCGTCTGTCAAATGTTCCCAATTTGGTTTACCCCGGTTCTGTTCCTCCTGTTGAATCGGAGTGACCATTAGGCATTGAAATAGCACATAAGAAATGTACTAGTGAACGATAACAGAGGTAAAAGGGGAAAAAAAATGTATGACATAACGTGCTACAAAAATATCAATGTACGAATAAAGAAAGAACTACTAGATCAATTACGAGTGATCGATAATAACACACAAATAACATACGCTGTACAATTCGATTTACGTGAAAATTGATGACGTGAAAAAATATAATTAGACGGTTTCAAAAGGAGGCGAAACAAAATAAAAACAATAATCGACACATTGATAGTACAAAGATACCATTGTTGCTTCCAAGTACTTACGAGTGTTTTCGTACGCGTACCACGAGCAGCTTGAAACAGTTATTGCGTCGTTTATAAGAGGTCTCGTATCACGACCATACATAACGAGACTAACTGACGAGTAAAAATCGCGATGGCCGACATTGCGAAATGCAAGGAATGAAAATATAACGGATATGCATCGAGTGTTTTACGTGTAAGTATCACAGTGGAGGATCGTCATAAATTAAGAAGATGGCAGCCCATAACCGTCTACGCTGACTCTCCCTTTACATACCTAACCTGTAAGTACCCCCATAGATTCTAAGAACACAAAGAACGCTTATACGTAGATCGCGTGTAACCTCACAGCCTTTTCGCGTGGCACGCGAGCAGACATCCCGTCGTAGAAAATTTCAAGTGTAAATTCGCCTGGCTTCTTACCTTATCGAAACTTCACAGCAGTGCTCAATCCTTCCTTAAACCGTGACTGGCGCATGGGATGTCTGAGACAACCGAATGCAATGCTTTTCAAATAGAGAGGAAAATCATGCCACTATTCCCGAGTTAAGCGCCAACCGAAAACGACAACCGACGCGTCAGGAATGCGCACCAATACGTGAAAACACGAGCGCCACACGTAGCGCCATAAATCCGAGAATCGACCGAGAGAAATCGCACAAAGTAATATACTGTCTGATAATAATTCATCTGCTAATTTACATGACAATGTCTTCGTTGGGATTCCGTGGCGTTTCAAAGTGAGGTTATGTGTTTCGCGCATTCAAAAGCAACGCGTACAAGAGATATAACGACCTTTTACTTTCGAATTTTTGTGCCGGTCTCGTTATTCGAATTTATTCTTTTTATTGTTCTTCCCCTCTGTCCCCCTCCGAACACCCCGAGCACGCTCCGTGCTTTGTTCAAAATAAAACTAAGTCCTCCCCACTCCGGCGAGACGTCTCGAGTGCGGCTTTACGGCGAAGTTGAGAAAAACATCACGAACGATCGGGGTCGGCAGCGCCGACTACAGGAACTTACAATCGGCTCGAAGACAGGACGGCCAGAGGTATAAGGTAAAAGTCGGTAACCTCTCTCTGTCCTCCTTCCGCGCGATAGTCACAAAATAACCTCGTCATCGTTCTCCCTCGTTCTTATCCGCCTGCAGCCCTGTGCTCCCGTTCCCTGTGTGGGCCTTTCCTTGCCAAGCCAACAACATATTTTTCTGCGACAGGTAAGAGACGCCCGAGTTTTGTTAGCTCGACGATCCACTCGGTGCCGTTTCGATCCGAACTGTGACTACGCTCGAGTCGACTCTCGTTCGCAGAGACGCCGGACCTCGATTCACCAGATATCTTTTCTTCCAAATATAGTCATACGTCTCCGACGAAGATTCCTACGAGTTTGTGTCACGTTCTACCCAGCGAAGACTTGTAGCTTCGCTTAGAAGGCTGTGCAATTTGCTTTGTCAATTTTTCGTGCGTACATTTTCATTCTGCATTATATATATTTACTTTTTTAATACAGTTAACGGTAACTGCGTACCTAGTGTTAACCGAGAAAATGGTGGCTCGGTCAGCTGTCGCGAAAACGAGCATGGAATATATAAGCGACGTGAGATTACAGGGAGTGAATGTCAATGATGTTTTGAGCTAATAAGAAAATGGCGGATCGCGAGAAACTCCGTGTGCACAGCTCATGCGTTACGACAAATGGCGTCTTTGTGAGCGATACACTTGGCAGTTATTCAAGATTTCGTAGCAGATGCGAAACTACGTGTTTCGCGTGTGCATATATAATTATACTCCAATTTTATCATACCCGCGTCCCAATGAGATCGCGACCGAGTTACGCGTGATTGACATTTCGCATTGTCACTCGCGATTCCTTTTTTTAAGTATATTTTCGAAATTACCTTCTTTTTGTCCCTCATCGAACCTTTTCCTCGCACCATGATCTTGCAGCCGGTTTCCTGCTCCAGTTGCTTGGCTGTCATGCCCCTCGGTCCCAGAATCCTTCCCACGAAGTTGAACTGTAAACAGTGGCGAACAAAAATTTGGTAAATAAAAAAGGAGCTGCGCGGTTGACGAGAAGAATCCGAAAAAATTTCGATCTACCGTACAAACAGAAATCGAGTGGCTACCGTATGTAAACCACGTGGAAAGGCGTAACGGTGTGACAATGATAAACGATCATTGGTTCGGATAACGATAAGACAAGATATTGAAAATCCAATTACTGATCCTCCAACATGCAGTTAATCGTTATCAGCGATGCGAATAAGCACGGTATCTTCGAAAGGTATTGTCTAGCGGACATAGGAGATTGTACAGTCACTGGACAAGGTAGATAAAAATCCTAGTCACGATTCTCATTGGCAAATAAAGGCACGCCTCCGTAAATATGGAAAGACACACGGGAAGCTGGTATTTACAGCACAGAAGTGTTTACGAGATGGACGTTTTGTTCGTCAAATATGTTCCGTTCCCACAGAACAGCGTAGAATACGCAAGGAACGAGTGTGCCAATGCGTACAGGAAAAATACATACAGGCGTACGCGTCATTCAGGATATGAAGCAATGAGTCTCCTAAGAATTATCGCCATTTTGTTTCTCACCGAAGACGCGAGCGAACATTCGAGAAATTCGAACGTCAAATTCGGATAATTAAAAAAAAAATACAAGCAGATAAAGAAATATCCTGACGCATCAGGTATGAAATAACGAATACGATTACTGCATTGAGAAAACACGTCAAAAGAAAAAAGAGAATCTACGTCCAAGACGCCGCAGGGCGAAGTGGCTAATGGAAGCCGTAATTCGTGGTCGGAAAAGACGATACTTTTCTTCAGAGAAAAATCAGCAGCTTGGAACGTGGATTTCTGGGTAACAGTTTAAAAAAATTTACCTGAGGTATCGTTTGCGGTCGGTAGTCGTGTTCAGTGTCTAATTGTGTCCGAGCAATCCGATAATACAGTGAATCAAGTTTCCGTTGCCATACGTGCACGTGTGCGCGAGACAGAATTTTCAAATTCTTCCAACGACTATCGCTGCTGACCAGGAACTACATAAAATCTTGTAGACGATAAACAAAAAGAAACGTACATAACGCACTGAGGGATCGTAGCGTAAATCAATTCCACTTAAAGACTCGAATTCGTTATACCGTCGTAATAGCCCATTGATCGTATACAGAGAACTGTCAGCGTATCGAATACGCTCGTTATCCCCGCGAGATCTCTTTTCACTCTCAAAGAAATATCGTACATCAACCGCACTGGGTTCTTCGTTAATCGCATAACTTCGTGGCCGTTAAACGAACTTTCTCAGAAATATATTGCGCAGCAGTGAATCCCATTGCTTTCGTAGCATCGAAGCGGCCATTGAAAATTGTCAAGAAGCCCCCGGGTGTCCCCCCCTCCTTTTATCTCCGACGTATCAACAGGATATATCTCGAGGAATGTCTGAAAGGTGAAAATCAAGCATACAGAACATCCGAGTCAAAGCCAACGTCCATAGGAACACGAGAGAGAGACACTGCGAAAGAAATCATACTGCATTCCACTACCCGACTAACGCTTGCCTGGCAGCCGAAAACAAAGTTAACCTACAAAATGCGCCAGGTAAACACAACGGTTGGGCCGCCTTGCAGCCAACAAGAAACAGACTCAGCGTCTGGCGTCGATATACATGCCTGACAACTGTAATAAATTTCTTAAAGTCCAAGAAGCGATCCTCGAGAATCGAACGTAACCATGGTGATCATTGTACACAATATACATAGATATAACGCGTGGGCATAAAAAGGCGAAGACACGCAAGAGCGTGCCGGGCATTGTCGTCGGTTCTCTCACGCTTTCTCTGCGACCGGACTCCAAAGGGAATATAAGCCCAGGGCCGTATCAATGGCAACGAAGCCGAATAACGTTATTAGCGGGAGTCACGATTTTCGTGACTGTCTTAAGTAGAGCGCTGTAGAGAAGAATTCAAATGTCTCTCGCAGCGTAAAGACGCTAAACGACAATAGTCCATACGGTAATGGCTTATCCGAGGTGAACTTTTAAGAGAAAAAATTGTATTGAATGGTTCCGTTTAACGCGAAGTTGGCGATGGAGAGTCATGCGAATTTTCGTAAAGCGTACAAAGTCCAGAGTCTCACTTCGCGAAGAGGTGGCACGACGTAGAGGGCGAGAGAGAGAGGGAGAGGCGGGTTAGGTGAGTATCATAACCGCAATGTCCAAACATTAACATCCTGCGCCAAAAACGCAGCCTTCGAAGCCTTGTTATTATAGCTCGTGGGGCGTAAGTCGGCTATAGGGCCGAGGAGTCCGTTTCTTCGGCAGGGAATCTATTCTGGGCGTTACAGAAATAACGCCTGACTGTACACATTTCAAACATACCCTATAGTAGTGTAGCCCCTCGAGGACCCCTTCGGACACCCCTTGGACCGCCGCTGTAACCAACGAGCCACGATCCTTCCGCCTCAACCTCCCGCACCGATAGAACCCGCGTGTAAACCTTTCGCTCGCGTTCGTATTTATGACCGCTTCTTATTTAACCCACGAGGAGCTTCGACCTAACCTCCAAAATTCTTTGACTCTGGGCGTTCTTACCCAACGAACGAACAGGAGCGCGATGCTTTTATTATTTTTTGGTCTTTTCTTTTTTTCCCATACGGTTACGTCCCTATAGCACGTAATAAAAAATGTATACAAATGAGAATACGCGTTTGATATCACCTCCGGTGGTCCGTAACCAAGGCTAGATACGATCCTGGAATAACGTGGGACGATAAACGAGTGCTTGGGATTCGTCATCGCTTTCCCAAGTTGCTAATTCGAGAATCGTTACTTCGACTTCCATCGGTCCGGCAGCGCTCGTAAATTACGCAGCAATATGCCGAACGAGCTGAAGCGACGAGCTCCGAGTGCACGTGTCCTGTGTTTCGCTAATGTAATACGGCCTTTTGAAATTACATAGAGAAAAGGTAATAATCGAAGAGTACCCGAGCCACGTGGCTCGAAACAGACATACGAGAGTCGACGGTTAGCGATGTTTTAAATACGTGGAAAAGGACGCGCGACGAAAACAACAAAGACAAGGCAAAAGCAGGAGACGGCAGTCCTTGCGTTTATTGTCCGCAAGAAGATGAATCATCGATCGATCGAATTGAATTTGCGGATTGTACACTCGATGAAGGGAATAAAGAAAAATATCGACAAAAAGTACCACTGTGTATTCTCTTAAGGCGGCACGGGTACAGACACCCGAAAAAGTTTTGTTTTTCGCTCCCGTCAGCCGAAACGACCTAACCACGGTATCGTTCAACGGCGTTTACCCAGCAACTACGAAAGATACCTCCATTCTCATTATTACCCATCCACTCCGGACTTTACTTCCGGTGTCGTCTCGCGGTCTTCCGCCCCGCGACCGCGAACAACTTCACTCGACTCAAGTGGCGCAATAGTATCATATGTAAAACTCACATCTGGATGCTCTTTGACTGGAACGTAAACTTTTTCAGTGAGTGTGGTAACATCTCCCTCTGGTTCTGGCAGCACCAGTGGCTCCTTCTTGACGCCGCTGATCTGGAAGAGGCTGGCCCGTACCTTGGCGATCTCTGAAAAAAAAGAAATAAATAAATAAACAACATAAAAAAATATTTCCAAAATTAAAATAAAATTAATATCAAAAAAGAGCCTGGCAGAACCGATGCAAGTCATACCTGAACTCGTACGCGTAGGTAAGGCAAGACACAGTGTACACACCAAGTGCCAATGCAAAGAGCAAATACTCAATAATGATAATTACACGGTCAGTAATAAAGTACGTAGATAAAGTAAATAAAGGCATTTAATGACGACAGGAGCTACCGGCAGACTATCCTAGATGCAACGATGAAAAAAAAAAGAAGACCATGAGTCAAAGCTCGACAGCCATTCCTGCATCTGCAGGAAGGACGTGACTCGTGCACACTATGCTTCTCTATGACAAATCTGTCCTTGACACAGTGATGCAATTAAGCAGCTGCTGGAGCAAATTGACCACTGCAGAACGAGCAGCTCGGAAGGCATATCAATACTGTACATTCTCAAGATAATCTCAATATTCCTGGAGCGGAACACCCGGCGCGGCAACCATCGTCCTATATACATACGTAAACACGTGACTACCTAAGCGCACAAGCCACGTCGCATATGGATATGAAGCGCATCCAGAATACCGTAGCGCAGCACTGTGCTGTCATCGAAAATAATTCGTAGTCTGTCTTTATAACGCCAAACAGTGAAGTCCCTCAGTGCTGTCTGTATGCATAGGTCGAGTCGCATGTAAGCTGCCAATCGTTTGAAAGAGCCACGCGTCGCCTAATAGAGCCGGCCCCTCTTTTATCAATGACGACGATGAGCCGCGGGTCTAATATCGTTGCCCGCATGGAGTGCGGATCGATCCCCAGACGCTGAAGCGCCTGAGCGCCGTTTAGCATCGAGAATAATAAATTTTTTGGTAACGGATCGTCGAAAAAGAATTATATACACAAAAAAGGAGTGATAAAGATAGAAGAGCTTCGTATATACAGAGAGAGAGAGAGAGAGAATCAAAAGGGAGTTCCATCCGGCCAGGGCACGGCCTCTAGGCTCAAAATCTATGGGAAATTATGCGTGTCTACGATCACGGACTGATGAACCCTCCTGCAGGTATACATATATATATATATATATATATATATATATATGGACAGTATAGGCCCAACCCAACACGGCTTAATTTCGATGCAACCCAGCCAGACGAGACGGTCTCTTTTTCCCTCTTCCATTCTGCCTCCATTGCCGTTGTCTACCTCCACGATCAAGAAGTACCTAACCATGTCGTGAGTGGTGCGTGCGTGCGTAAGTGCGTCTACACTCGTGCTTGTATATATATATATATATATACACAGGACAGAGTAGACGATTATGCGCCATGTAAATCTAACGGTTGGGCGTGGCTCGTTCTTCGAGTTAGCCATGTGGCAGCATCGTGACCATAGAGAGACATCGGCTGGACCAGGTTCTCCTGGGTCGTCCTAGAGGCACAGTTATTTTTTCTGTTTTTTTTTTTCGAATTTCATACGTCAAAAAACGTGACTCCACCGTAAACAATCCTACGCAACAGGAACGTGTGTCACGGGGACTTTTAACCGATGAAGAATCGTTTACAAGCGAATGAAGTAAAGTTGAGGTTATGTCGTCCATTTGTACAATTGCGAGCATGTTGCGGATGACCGGAAACCATAATTCGCCTGGAAGTCATTTAACCAGACCCGATTGGATCGCGCTGGTTGTTGTCCTTCGACGAGCGTGCTCGCCGTTAAGGAGGTCGTCGCCAGGGAAGAGGCCGGACAATGGGAACGGAGTCACACCGATTCGCGTACCTACCTAAGTCCCCTCTGGGTATAGCATGTGATTCGCATACCAGCCAGGTTTACCGGGTACGCGAGCGACCTGGGTATAAGGCTGATGTCACTGGCTAATGCTGACTTGTTCGTCAGGGCGCGCCTAGTCAGGCATCGAAAATCATCCAGGATGGTCTGACTTACTGACTGTCTGATATGTGACTGGTTGATTCAACGGTTGATTGTTCGTCAAGTTGACGCGTAATTTCGTTCAAGTATCAGTTGATTGACGAACGAAATTCTTGGCGGGCTTCGGGGCTCGTCTCTATGGAAGTACGACGAGCGACCGACGGCAGGATCGACAATGCGATTTCACGAGGGCACTCGTAATTATCGAGAAGGTACCTGGGAGTTACTTGTCAAGGGAAAATTCTTAGGCCTGTCAAGTGATAACAGCGCACGAGTGAAAATCCGCGATAAAGATGATTAAATGAGCAACGTTATGCGAGAAAGTATAAGAAAAATGGCGTCCGATAGATAAAGATGTCACGATCTTACGCACGCGGCCGGGACGCAACGTGACCTTAGCCAGTCGGCGGAAACGCTGGGAGAATTCACGTTGAGCTTGTCTCACGGGTTTTTTAGTGGCGATACGAATGAACGAATTTTACTTGACGATATGAATATAATGAAAATTCATTGCCGGATGCGGAGACTCGATCGTCGAACGGAAGTGAATTTTCGAAAGGGTCGGTACTGGTTACAAATCCGTACCGAGTGACGCCAGCGCTATCCCAATTTCGTTAAACCGAGAAAAGACCGCGACGCCTCTAACCAGTCACGACGCCAAAGACAGACGGGACTAGGGCGTCGGTGGTGTTGCTTAACTAGTTGCAACGGTGAGTCGTCACAGGCGTATAATAAAATACATTGCTCGTACACGAATAAAGTTTCAAGTCTTGAAAATTCATGATAAAAGTTCTGATGTAACGATAACATTGTAACAGTTGGACATTGATCATCGTCCGATGAACTCGAGGGTTATATAATGGGGATTGAAAAAGAAAGAGCAAATAAAAAACGTCAAGTTATTCAAGGTCTCGTAAAATCCTACACCTGCAAATACGAATAGCGATTGAATTTTGAAATAATAAATCGAGTTGAAAAATTGTACAAGATTAATATATATATATATATATAACTTACAAGGAATTAATCGAGGATAGTACTGATTATCAAAAATAACCAAGAAATTAATTAACAGTCCGTAACGCGCGAGCGTTGGTATGCACGCTGTTGCTGCGCTATAGAGTGTCTTACGGAATTCCGAAGGCCACGTAGGATTACCGAAACACGATAAAGCCGCGTTCACCGTAGTGCAACCGTGACTCTCCATACCAAGAGCGAAACGAGCCATTGCACCTAAAACGACTCTCGGCGTCAGTAGAATTCTCGTTGCCTTGAGACTGTTAGCCTAGTACGATTTACGTGCCTCGCACCTAGCCCGCATGACCAAAAAATTAACCAAGCACGTCTTCACGGTGGAGCCGACAAAAGTGAAGAAGCCAGTCGAGTTAGAATTACGGTGAAACGTAGTGTCCCCGAGGCACCGAATTCGTAAGTGAGGTTAGGAAGGCAAGGACCCCGACCACTCTAACGTATATACCTATAGGAATGGCCAACAGCGTGGAAGACGCCGAGGCGGCAACGTGCGTGACGGGAGTCAAGGAGCTGGCGGGAAGGACGAGAAGCGAAGAAGAAAAGAAGCATGAGCCGAAGACGGAGGGACAAGTTGGTCGACTGGAGGATAGAATGGAATTCGTTCAATGAATAAATGGTACGGATAGCGTGTGGCAGTGACGGCGGGTGTGGCAGTGTGGCTATGCCATTCCGTTGACGGGCCGAGTAGAGGGAGAAATTCTCATGACGCGAGAGACAGAGACGCGGAGCCCGGTCGGTAAGGTAGAGCGCGCCAGTGGCACGAGAGTCAAAAGGAGGACTCGTGTATAGGTCGGAGAGTGGGAGGACGACAAAGAGGATACGGTAAGTAGCCAGAGAGAGCATCATAGCCAGTTTTAGCAGCGGAGCTAGCAGCCAGCCAGCCAACCAGCCTGCATGACATCAGCTGACTGACGCGTTGCTCGCTCTTGGCTCTCTTCGTTGCTCTTGGCTCCCTTGGCCACTGCTCTAGTCAAGAATTGAAAGAACGAAAAGAACAAAAATACTAATACTCTCTTAACAAGCACACTCCTACAACGTGGTATCTGGTTTTCGCTCCGTTTTAACTAGCATGCTAGACATAACTCGTGTGTCCTCTGATTCAGAGACTGTCACACGACTTACGTTGTTGTTAATGCTATTTGCCTATATCGTCACGATTGCGTCACTCTGTTGCTTCCAGTATCGATATATATATATATTTTTTATGAGCTCTTTTGTTCCTCCTTCTCACTCGTATTCATCCCTCGACTTGGATTTCCTGTTGCTCCTGCGGTTACGTCAGACCGGGCGAATGCGATTGGACCCTCCAGAAATAGATGCAGGAATTTGTATTATATTAACGGGAATTAAAGGACCCAGTGGTTACCGTGTCAGCTGGCAGAATACGGGGAATTAGGATGGCGAGATATTTACTTCTGTGTATGAAAGGAGCGACATTGTATTCGGTGTATGTTAAGATGGAGAATTTCGTATTCCGGACGCGAGGCGTCTTTGGGTTTTGCCCCAGTCCGAGTAATGTACTTCGAAAATTCGTTATTTCGCGAACAGTCGAGTTTTCTACGAGTGCGCATACCACACTGCGATACTCAGGGACGGCTCTAGTCCGATGAAAACCCCCCACCACGCAGTCGCACGATCTCTAAGTAAACTCAAACGCGGGTAAAAGTAAATATATTTTCGTGACAATCGAAATATTGGAAAAATAATAATTTTTCCGTCTCCGTGGAATCGTTGAAAAAAAATTCTGGTGGGACAAGGCACCATTAGAGAAATGCGATATGACCTGTACCGAGAAAAAAGATAAAAAGAAAATTTTGTGTCCAAAGTAAAGAAAAACAGTGAGAAGAAAACAGTATCTCATTCGATATACCAGAGGCAGGCATTTCGCCCGAGAAGACAGAGGAGCACGCGCACCTTTAAAATTGTATCGAAAGACGACGGGCGTCGCGGCGTGCCAACATCGTGAAACGGTACCCTAATTCCTGAGCGGCGTTAAAGCAAAAAAATAAGCTAAGAAAACAAAGTCG